CAATATCCCAGGTGTTATTGGTAATAACTAAGTGAGTAAACACTTACCAGCTGGCCTGAGCATGGTATAATCCTACCTCCCCCTTACTGGTAAGGGGTTGGGGCAGCCCGCTCGCAGCGCACTTTGGACATTGCGTTGTTACTTACATGTAATTGTCTTAAGTTAATGAGGGGCGGTATCTTTTGCCGCATCTTCACTAAAATAATATTTTATGAAACAATAAATGTATTGAAATTTCGATCAAAGATAAAAAATTAAATTCCGGCATCCTGATAAAGGTTAGCCAATTACGCCAATACCATTGTCTGTGTGTTATCTATTATTTAAGTGAACAGAGCTTCATTGCATGTTATGAATGAAGGCTAGCATGGTGCTAGGTAGCTGATGCTGCAGTGAGTTCTTGGAAGGATTTCGGAGGTACAAAAATAGAGTTATAGTTAATACATATAGGATAGCCGGCTCCTTCCCTCCTCTGTCTCCCTTTTCTATCCCTTCTCTCCAAACTATATCCCTTCTACTCATTTTCCTGTCTTTTCTTCGTCTGCTGGATAACCAAACTACTCGGTAGTGAAGCGGACGTAAAACCAATCAATCAATCTCTGTATTCTCTTGTCAATTAAAGCGTACACCCAGCCTTTGAAAACAATATTGAGAGAGATTGTTACAGTAGGCAAGTTATGAATCGAGATGAGGGTGATTATATTGCCATCTTGTATGTATTTCGTGTCTTTGTGTCCTCAGAGATGTATATACTTACTTTATATGTCTCTGCTATCCTTTACCGGTCACTTGTCTGATCAAGTTGACAGGGTACACATAGCCATCAAAACGTCACACATAATTGTGATATTATGATCCGTACCTTTTTTAATAAACAGTCTTTCTTTGTATGACAAAACATTAAATTCATTGGTATCAAAAATTAAAATTCTTTAAAAGATAAAAGGTTTCCATGTCTCAAGAATAACACTATTTCTGAAAAATTGTGATAATCTGATATCAAGAAATGATATCATTAAACTAATTATTCATAAAAAGGGTGCAAAAAATAATATAGCCCTCCCCAGTGATATAGAGAAATAGTATCCTCATATGATACAGTATATTATTTATATACCCAAACCTATTATTATTGAAATCAAGATACAAAAACTTACATGAAAATTGCATTTCTTGATATAACGAAATGATTAAGTGACATCTTAAAAATATCACGGATTTAGAATTGTTATCGAATTCCGACAATATTTTTTGGAATTTTTAATACCTCCAATTCGATTTTAAGAAATTGAAAAAAGGTCTTAAATTAGTACAATATTAATAGAAACAGTCACGTCAATTTATTGTGGTTTTGTAAAAAAAAAAGTGCCAATTAAATTGCCGGAATATTTTAGGCTGTCTCCGTCTTCAACTTTAAAACTAGTATAGCGCGCACTTGCTCGACGACCCCGAGTAGTTGCTCTCTAGACTTATCTTCCATATTGAGCTAATATATTCCTTATTCCGAATAAGAGGGCCTTGTGTTTGATCACGTGACCCTCCCCGGCGACGAGGTTGTTGAATAAAGTGTTGTTTTGGTTGCTCCTGTTACGTACATATTTAAATAAAGTACATAATTCTACAATGATGGCTGACTGAAACAACAGATACCGGGAAGGACATAACAAACTAGGAGGCTGTCCATTCTTTTTACAAGTGTTGGCTGACTTGGAATAAAACAGCAACATGAGCCACGTTCACGAAGGGTAAGTTAATCTTTCCCACTGGCAGACATTTTTATATTTGACTCGACTTGTTGTAAATGACAGCACGATGTCTGTCTCTGAATGCAAACGGTTTCTTGATCAACAGATAAGCTTAAAATGTATACTTGAAAGCAGTTTAAAATGTAGTATTGGTTGTCCCTGGTTGAAGAGTGAAAATTGTGTTTACCAATCACCTATATCATCTGGTCATTTAGCTGTCTAACCTACAGTGTAGCAACAAAACTATTTTCCCAGTCTTGCTTCAGGCTGCTGTCGATGTCTAGCTAGGTGTTTATAACACTGGTTGACAAATACACACAGACGATTTTATTATTCCTAGTCATTTCAGATGACAAATTATATATAAGATAAATAGATTAAAATGCTTGTGTATACAATGTATCCCACAATATTATAAAGTTAACAATTAAAATTATAATTAAAAACATGTAATTATTCAGTGCTGTTATGCTTCACTTTTCTTTATTTCTTTTACTTTTGTAAATTTGATGTCTGTTGGTGTGCTAATTGATAAATTATCATTTAAATTGATCCCCATCCCATGTTGAAAGATGTGAAACAAGTCTAGATGTTTCTCCTACTGGACAGCTAGATCATCTAGGATATTGATCCTCATATGATACAGTGTTTGAACTGTAGCCCAACACTCTGTGGTTCCAGCACCATTACATAGAGTCATACTCGTTTTAATACATGTACAATAATTAATGTATAAATTGTATGGTCTATTTAGCCTATTATATAGGGGCTGATGGAAAGCATGAAATTGCTGTATTCAGATACTATTTTCCTTTACAAAACAACTGCTCCCTTCCCATTTAGGGCTTCCTGAAGAGGATCTTAACTTCCTGTACCAAAACTACTTAAAAAACCCTTAAATTATAGGAATTTGCTACTTGGATTCCCTCCAGCCCCCCTCTCCCACCCTTCCCCCTCCTCCAGCCCCCCACCCTGCCCCCTCTTCCAGGCCCGTCAACATGCTTACTTTCAATTTTTTTATGAACACATTGCTTAGCTACACTGCAGTTCGCTGTTCAATTTTCTGATTGCATCTGTAATTGTGTCACAAACTCACAATTCAATATTGCTGACTGGAAGGATTTCTTGTATATTAGGGGTGAGACTTAATGTGTTGGTCGTCACGTTCTGGTGTTATTGTAATATTTTAACCAGTTTTTATCCTGTGGATTGTTTTCTGTGTTGATAAGATTGTAACAGAATATTACATCTGATATGTACATGTCCATACTTTCCCTGTTTGTTGTCGTCATTACTAAAAGCTATTTATAGCACATACAATAACACTCAACACTTAAACTTACTTCCTTCCTTGACACGAACGATGCCATAGACAAGGATCTGTATTCATAAAGCCATTCTCATGCTCAAGCCTTATTTTTTTGTTGGGCTTAAATTAATAAAAAATCTTATTTCAGCAATGTTTTGGAAAAACAATGAAAAGGCTCAAACCCTTATGCTGTTTTCAGTGTTTTTAATTGACTTTTTGATTGTTTGACATGCTTTCAGCCAGTTACGAGAATATTATTTTGGGGACAGAATCCATGCTTGAGTATGAGAACGGTTTCATAAATATGGGCCCTGATGAACATATAGGGCTAACACAAATCAAAAGTCATGTGACTGATGTGACTTAAATTAGAGAAATCATCGGTATTAGAACTATATGGAAGGCAGCTATTTTGAAAGCACTAGAGGTGCTCATATGCATGGGGGGACCCAGGAATTAATTTCGGGTGTTGCCCAAAATTTTTAAACTCGGAAAAAGACTCAAAAATAAATTATAATTGTCATGTCGGTTGTACATGTATACTACTTTCTGGCACCAAACAATATATAGAACTTCATTATTTCTTAGATTGTGACAATTATAATTTCCCTGCCGAGCAGAGCAAGTTGATTTTTTTTCTTCTGAGGATGTAATACTAAACTTGTTCAAGCACTGCCAAGCGTAGAAAGCTAGAATTACTTGGACATGATTTCCATTGTCAAACAGATCTAATAAGGCATAGAATAGTTTTCTGAGTTTGCGGTATTATTCCAGGTTATATTTTATAACATAGAGTATTTATATTTTATGATGACCGAGCGGAGCGAGTATTAACAAAGTCTCTGAAACGATGGGAAAAAGGTTGGTTTTTGGTTAAAATGTTGATGTTTGTGTCATGCCTTTCATGTGCATGTAGTTTAGGCAAGCATTTTGGCAATTCAATATTGATTTATTTTGTCAAAAATATGAATTTTGATTTAACTGTTTGTCTTTTATTGTGAATTTGTATGCATGCATATGTACAAGGGCAACACCTGTTGAAAAGGATCTATATATACATGCCAGGCTTTTATGCTAACATTGGTTATTATTCACCTGATAACGTGATGCTAAGGTGGATGCTTTACTGTCTTTGGAATTTACATTTTTTAACAGGTATATCTAATCACTCCTGGTGATCATGTGTACATGAAACCACAGGTGAAAATACAGGTTTATCTATCATGAAGTGGACTCTACCTTTGAAATAACAAGTAACATAATTATATACCTAATTCCAACAGATGGTTTATCCTCTCTCAACGGACAGGGTGATCACCACACCGTGACATTAGAACAATACGATTAGGTAGACAGTCTGTTGAGCCTTCACCACTGAACTGACTGGAGACCCTACTAATATATAAACAAAAGAGGATTAATCCCCTATTGTTTAGAGTATAAGTAGTGGACTCCTTGTTTGGGCAACTGCACCCTTAGGCATATATAGATATTCAAACTGCTGCTTGCCATAGAAATTCATAATACACGGGATGGTTGATATTGGAACAAAATCCCATATATGAAAAATCTTCAAAAACCTAAGTCCAGATTATTTTTGGACACAGAAAAAATGGGTCTGCCACTGATATCATATCTTTTTAAGCAAATACTGTAATCTTTTATGTAACGCCTCTATTTTACTTCTGCTTCTTACCTTAGAGAAATTTTCAGGGCAAATGTGCTGCCTTCGAGAAGGTCACAAAAAGTAATTAAATGGCCTGGTGACTTTCCGTCTGAATTTCATCTTACATAGTCAATCTTCTTTTAAGTAATGAATTTGAAATGAATATGAGGTATCAGGGTAAGTCATACTGTGGAAAGTGGGAATTCTCTAGTGTAGAAATGTTTGCTTTGAATAATCAATTTGCAAACATGGGCTTTACTTTTTAAATATTTATATTTTCTGGTAACTGTCTTTTACAGTTACAGGATAATTTAGGCACCGACCTGTTTTATTTGATTTTGAACTGAGCAAACCAGTTTTAATTCAAAATTATGGTTACACAAACATTTGAATGAGTAAAAATCAATACCCTTGTAATTTTACCGAGTAGTGTTGACTTAGATGATAGGGTTATATTGTCTGTGCTATGATCCGGGGTTGTATTATATATTCAGTATTTAATTTACTTGATCTTTCATGTTTTTAACACATGGCACCAGTAGTGTGTAGACTTATTATTATGAATTTATATAAGTATGGTCAACTTAAAAAATAAAAATGTAAAAAACTGTATTTGATGTTTTCATATATAATTTACAACTGCAATACCAGTTTCATACAATATTGGCTGTATCCCATCATGCTCAATAATGTTACTGCAGAAATAATACTCTGGTATCATTATCACCCCTCTGGTATCAATATCACATTTCTGGTATCAATATCACCCCTCTGGTATCAATATCAACCCTCTGGTATCAATATCACCCCTCTGATGTCATTATCACCCTTCTGGTATCAATATCACCCCTCTGATGTCATTATCACCCTTCTGGTATCAATATCACCCCTCTGATGTCATTATCACCCTTCTGGTATCAATATCACCCCTCTGATGTCATTATCACCCTTCTGGTATCAATATCACCCCTCTGATGTCATTATCACCCTTCTGGTATCAATATCACCCCTCTGATGTCATTATCACCCTTCTGGTATCAATATCACCCCTATGATGTCATTATCACCATTCTGGTATCAATATCACCCCTCTGGTATCAATATCAAGCCTCTTGTAACAATATCATCATTCTGGACTCGTTATCACTCCTCTGGTATCATTATCACCCATCTGGTAGTAATATCACCATTCTGGTATCATTATCACTCCTCTGGTATCATTATCATCCCTCTGGTATCATTATCACCCCTCTGGTAACAAAATAATTCCTCTGGTATCATTATCACACTTTTGGTATCATCATTATAAGCCTTCTGGTATCATAAGCCTTCAGGTATCAATATCACACCTCTGGTATCATTATCAACCCTCTGGTATCAATATCACCCCTCTGGAATCATTATCACACTTCTGGTATCAATATCATTCCTCTGCTATCATTATCACCCATCTGGTATCAATATCACCCATCTTGTATCATTATCACCCCTCTGGTATCATTATCACCCCTCTGGAATCATTATCACTCCTCTGGTATCATTATCACCCCTCTGGTATCAATATCACCCCTCTGGTATCAATATCACCCTTCTGGTATCATTATCACTCCTCTGGTATCATTATCACCCCACTGGAATCATTATCACCCCTCTGGAATCATTATAACCCTTCTGGTATCAATATCACCCTTCTGGTATCATTATCACTCCTCTGGTATCAGTATCATCCCTCTGGTAACAAAATCACCACTCTGGTATCAATATCACCTCTCTGATGTCATGATCACCCTTCTGGTATCAATATCACACTTCTTGTATCAATATCACATTTCTGGTATCAATATCACCCCTCTGATGTCATTATCACCCTTCTGGTATCAATATCACCCTTCTGGTATCAATATCACCCCCTCTGGTATCAATATCACTCCTCTGTATCAATATGACCCTCTGATTTCAATATCACCCCTCTGGTAACAATATCACCCCTTTGGTATCAATATCACCCTTCTGATGACATTATCA